CTCATTGTCTCATGTATTTACTTTGAGTCTATGCGGACTGACTAATGTAATTGATGGATAAAGCAACAGACTAAGGAGAAAAAATGGGGGGAAACCTACAATGTAATCGATAATCTCGTTTGGGGGCTGTCCATAAAGTGTGTAATGCGATTTTCCGATTTTTCGACACCCAGCCACCCCTCGTAACGCGATCGAAATGCTGGTCCAGACACCTCAAAAACACCTGAAAATTCGTCTCGACACTTCCCCCTCCCCTTTCTCACAAATAAACCCCCAAAATAAGCCTACGTTTGTATGGCCTCCATAAATTGGTAAGCTGAGATGTTGAATTCAAATATGATAAGAAAAATAAACGTCTATACAGCACAAAATTCTGGAATTTTTTAATTTAAGGAAAGAGTACTTGAGAAGTAACACCGCAAAATCACACACCTTGGAAATGTATATGATGAGGAGAATAAATAGTGGTTGTGGACCCATAATCAATTTTGAAGAGAAAGAGAACCAAAAAAAGGTTGAAATCCAGTACCTAGACTGTTACGTAATGCTGAGCTTGAGACTCTTCCTTCAACCTCTGTCACGCTTGGTTTCAAAAGATGAAGACTTACCCACCCCCTAGAGCGTAACGCACTTTATGAACAGCCTCATGGAAATTCGAGCTCGGAGACTATAACGCGTGGGTAGAAATGTAGTCGTATCGAGTTCTCACCTTGCGTGGTTCCCCGTATCTGTCATTTACTTGTAAATAGATTTTAGACTAGATCAATCAAAAGTAAACGTGTTTTTCTGAGAGATCATGACTGAATAAACGTGCGGGCAGAGTATTGGAATTGATAGACAAAGCTATAGACATAGAAGATAAAAGGAAAATGGAGAGATCCTTCACTGAGAAAAAGCTATGGTTTATAAACCTATTAGTGGTAAATATGGAACACCTATAATAGTCGTAAATAAACTAATGATTCTCGGTCTGTGAACCATACTAAGGTCTCTGTACCTAATTAAGGTACAGAGACCATAACTAAGGTATATGTGCTATTATTATATGTAGAGGTACTACTATTAGTGGTGTTCCATATTTACCTCTAATAGGTTTATAAGCCATAGTTTTTTCTCAGTGAATTCAGCAAATTCATAGCTGAACATTTTGAATGGACCACTGGACAAGGTACGAATTTCAGCATTCTGATACGTGGATCGTAAGCAAAATTTTACGTAGAACACGATGCGCACAACAAAAATTACCGAAAGTAACTCCTCAAGAAGATATTTGATGATTCTTGGTGCGTGAATTCAAACCACCCGCTCAAGAAAACTTAATGCTCTACGTGATTCACATCGCGCGATAAACGTTATCATGACAGTCTCTGCAATATAAAAATTTGGCAACCTCAATCTTGATGCTTTGGCTCAGCTATAGCAAATTGCTAATAGTTTGACCAACACATGGTGCGGGCAATGAACTTTGCTCGATTGAGAAGCTTGCTGAAACCGTTGTAGCGCGCGATTTGACTCATGTAGAGCTTTGAGTTTCTTGTGAGCGGGCATTTCAAATTCCTTGTAACCAATGTGAAATAAAAACGTTATTATCTTCGGTAGGAGTTGGTTTCAGTAATTTTCGTGTTGTAAATCGTGTTCTACGTGAAATTCTGGTTAAGAAACATGTATCAGGTTGTTTAAATTCGTACCTTGTCTAGGGTTCCATTGTGTTTTTTAGTCATTTTCGGAGCCAACTCGTTAGTTGGTTTCTCTGGGAGGTGCTCGAGAGCAAAATTGAATTGATACTAATTCTTTTTGAGTTCTCTCTCAAATCGTGCTGTATACTGCTGAAGAATTCAGTTTTTTTCGGTGCATCCTGTCCGAATCCGGCCATTGCTTGCGAAGCACCGCTAGGTAGGAATGAGAGACGAACAAGGTTTGAAAAGGAAACTGGAGTATTTGGCGAATCTCCGCTTGCGCAATTCTGAGTCCTGAAACCTGGAACGGACCGAAGCGGCGCGGCGGCCACCGGGAGTTGAGCTTCGACAAAGTTCAATCCGATTACCCGCATGAGCCAAGTCTCGCGCTGTTCCGCTATTTCTCAGTGCTAGTAACTGGACCGAGAAGCAACTACGTATATAAACACGTGTGTACAAACACTCGTTTGGGCACCACAATTAAAGACAAACATTTCTGAAGTAAGTGTAAAGAGTTGGTCTCTTTATACTTCTGCCGAAGTGCTGAACCCAATTCAAGTCCAACTGTCCTGGTCGATCATCGGCGCCGCGCTTAGCAAAACAAGTGGTACAATTTTCTCTCTCTAAAAGAAAAAGGAAGAATGAAAAGAAGAAAGGGATTGGCAGGATTGCCGGCGGTCTGGAAAAGAGGGAAAGTCAGGAAATTTGTGGCGACCGGGAAAATTCAGGGTATAACAGGGAATTCGTCGGGAAAAGCCAAGGAATTAATTGCTAATTCATCTACTAATCACTGATCTTTTAACTGTTTAAACTATTTACCCCTTCTGGTCATTATAAAGGCTTGTCATCTTTTCACCTGCTACAGAAAGCCTTCCGCCATAATTTAATCTCTAAACAGGGAAAATTTGTCCAAAATTTATTGAAAGGCACTGTATTTCCTTTTTTCTTAAAAAAAGAAAGAAATAAAGGCTGTGAAAATTTCATTTGAAGGTCTGGTAGTCAGGGAAGCAAAACATTTTTGAGTCCGAGAAAAGCAATAAAAGCAGTGTTCGAAACTCTTCTTTGAGTTTCAGGAGCCATGTGGCCCATCAAGCTAGATTTTTAGAGGCTATTGAAGATTTTCCAGGGGCCAAATTGACTTTTTGCCTACATATCACGGCGCATTTAGTGAAAAGTCAGAATCCGATGCCGTGCGTCGAAATTTCAAAAAATCATCCAACAGAAAAATTCGGATTTTTTTTTTTGGGGGGGGGGATTTTTAGGGGGACCGTTGGCGGAGATCCTCCAGTTTTTAGGCGCCATAACCGATTTTTTATTAGCATTTGGCGCCTGTGAGTTTCGAAAACTGAATATAAGTTAAAGAAAGTCAGGGAATTTGGAGGTCAAGACATTATAAACGAACATTCCATTCTGTGATTGATCCACAGACTGAAATTTCAATTTTTCTAAAATAATCCCCACTTAAAAGTACAAATTATCGATCGCACCCTGAATGCATTGCGCAAAAGCTAAGATTCCACCCTAATAAGAGTCATTTCAGCCGCGTTTCACGCCGCAAAATTTCTCTTCGCGTTTCGTTTTTTAACCGCACAAGCTAAGGAACACAAAGCTCTGAAACTTCCTTTGAAATTTACTCTTCGGATTGTAAAAAAGCGCTCTCGAAATATTTCGTTACAGACGATCGCTTCGTTTTCTGTCTGAAAAACTAAGCAAATCAAGAAATTTAGCAACGTGTTACGTGGTTGGATTGTTTCTGGCCAATGCCGGTCAATTATGGGAACTCTGAAGAAACATCTAAAGAAGCTCTTGCTCTTTCATTTCCGTCAGATGGTCGGTCCCCCGCTAACTAAGAGGGGAACGAAATCGCCCGACAGCAAAGCCACGACTCCTGCCGTTCGGCCGATAAAACGACTAGAGGTCGAACTTGGAATCGCGGGAACACCGCAAGACGAGCTCATCCGCGAAACAACGGATCCAGTTGCAGTTCTACCGTGCTAAGGAAGAACGCCGTATGAACATTCGAGAGTTGCCAAATCTCTCCGAATAAACCATGTATTTTTGACGAAATTTACGCATGTTTTTCCTTGAAATTTTCAGATATTTCAGATTTAATTGCGAACAAAATAGTCTGAAAAATTGGAAGAAAAATATTTACAATTTCCCCAATAAATTCGTATTTCATCAGAGGAAATTTGGCAACGCCTGAAGGTTCATACGGCGTTTTTCCTTAGCACGGCGGAGTTGTGCTTGCGACTTGCGACCTCAGGTTGATGCGGGTACGCGGGAGGAGTTGGGACGAATGCCGCCGTGCTACGGAAAAACGCCGTATGAACATTCGAGAGTTGCCACATTCTCTTCGATAAGATGTTTATTTTTTAGGAAAGCTTTGCATATTTTTCCTTGAAATTTTCAGGAACTTCAGGTGAAATTGCGAACAAAATTATGTGAAAAATGCAAAGAAAAATGCTTAAAAATTTTCTCGAAAATCCGTAATTTACTAACAGAAATTTGGCAACGCCTAAATATTTATACGGCGTTTTTCCTAAGTACGGCAGAATGGAGGTTGGAGGCACAAGTAGGCAACATCGGATATAATGTCACTGTCGTGACTCACTGCTATCCGTCCTCCAGCGCTGTCGCCATTACTTACCTATCGGCAACTGCAGGTCGCCCGAATATTCCAAGGCTAAAAAATTCACGAGTTTTAAGCCACGAGTACCTGCTAACTCTAACATCGTGACACTTATTGTTAGAGTGCCCTAGGGAATGCATGGACTCAGGGAGGCGCTACTTCTTATTGGAGGCATCTTAGGTTTCATAGTACCCAAAACAATTTCAGGCGTTGGAAGCAAATGATTCAAAATTATTGAAGTTGAGATATTGCATGTGTGAGGAATTTGCGATTTGACTATTGATTCTTTAGTAAAAGTTCGCGAGAAACACGATGGTGCCACTGGTTTTCAAGGCTAGAGGAGACATAAAACAACCAGGACGTTTCGGGCCAATCACATGCCCATTCTCAACTGGAACAGAAGCTAAAAAATGTAAAAATTAAAACGAGAAAATGAGCATGCAACTGACCGACGTAGGAATCAGTGCAAACTGAAAAACAGAGCAAAGATGGACAGAGGGGCACTATCGCCTGTACTTGAAATTTTCTCTCAAAATTTCGGAGGAATTTGCGCATTGTTAGTCAAAAAGTTCCAAGCAACCTGCAAAATTCTGCGAATAATTTGGTTTTGACTGGATAAACCATTTTAAGTCGCAGATTTTCTTCCAGTGCACAACATGATGTCGACTAATGCAAATTATCTTTCTTTTGCAGACAAAGTAACAGTCGGATGTTCCAGTTAAGCTGAAGCCGTTTCATTAATGTAAGTGAAGAATATTCTATATTATAAATAGGCTTTTAAATTGAATTCGTGAAATTGCACCAGCTTTTAGAGTAAAGAACATTGCAGCGGAAAAGAAAGAATGGCCAAGTTATTTATTTAATTAGGATCATAATAGGAGCAATAATGGGATGAACCAGCAAAAAGGAGGGAGTCCAAACCTAAAAATTAACCGAGGGCAAATTTTTTTTAGCTCTCTGCAGCGAGAGTATCATTATAGTAAAACGAGACTTCAAAGACCAATCATTTCTGGTCGGTTTGGTTGTTATTAGGTTCTGGCCTTGTTTTACCGATGTTTTGCGCGTCCAGGTATTACTCATTTCCAGTTTTCCTTGCGCGAAATTTTCGGTTAGTGGAGAAGATTCTCTAGAAAATGCCCGAACTAAAAAATTAACAACATGTTTTATCATGCCAAAAAAACACCGATGCAATCAAAAGTTTTGCTTGGAAAATCGAACTCGGAGACTTGAACGCGTGGGTAGAAATGTAATCGTATGGAGTTCTCGCCTTGCGTGGTTCCCCGTATCTGTCTATACTCGCACATAGATTTTAGATCTAGATGAATCAAAACCAAACGTACATTTCCGAGAGCTCATTACTAAAAAAAAAAAAAAAAAAAAAAAAAAAAAAAAACAAAAAACAAAAAACAAAAAACAAAAAACTGGAGGCCGAATATTAAAATTGATAGACAAAGCATAACAGACAAGGAGGACGAATAAGGGAAAATGGAGCGTTCCTAAAAACTACACTGAAAAAAAAATTTCGGTGTATTTACTAAGAAAAGGGTAAAATTACCAAGAATTCAGGGTCTTATTTGATCCCAGTTTCTTCTTGGTATAAAATTACCATTTATGGAATTGGTAATTTTACCGAGAAATCTCGGTAAAATTATTGAACTTTCTCGGTAATTTTACTAGACCTTGGTAAAAACACCAATATTTTTTATCGACTATGGTAGAATTACCGAGATAAAATGGCAAAGTTACCGGGAATCGATCACCAATAAAAGTGGTATTCTTACCTGAAAAAAACAGTAAAAAACCGGTTTTTAGGTAAGTTTACCAGTCTGTCTTGGTAAAATTACCAAAATTCGTAAAAAAAAAAAAAAGTGAGATGGTAAAGGTACCAACGGACCTTGGTAAAAACGCCCAGAATTTTTTTTCAGTGTAATGGAGATGATCTACCGAGTTCCTTCCGTGTAACAAGTGTTGAGGAGGAAAAATGTGGCAAGTTTAGCAACTTGCCCGTTAATTTCTCAGTTTGGAGCGTGCAATTTGTCATTTTTATTCAGATCGTATGAGGTCCGGATTATGTGGGTGCCGGTTGCCCGGGCGGACGTTAGGGGCGCGGCTCAGTATAACGCAGCATGATGTTGCCTAAATACGCCTAAATATAAATGAATATCTCTGAGATAATTTATGAAGGATAGGCGAGCACCATTTAGATTCCGTTTCGTAACCAAAAAGAATAAAAGAAAAGATGAAAAGGAAAAAAAAAGAAAAAACAGCTGAATAAGCTCGTGCTAAAATTTCTAATGGAAGGTGAGTCAACCGTGTCATCCACTCCGATTAAAGTTTTTTTTATTATTCGATGCATCGATTAATCAAACGGCTGGCTAATCAAAAATTCAGTATTCGAATCAAATTATATCGAATTATCTATATTAATTGATCAATGCGCATATTTTCAAACGGTGAATTTCAAAAATATCAACCTGCACCCTGGTATGCCACTCGTGCTTCAAAGTTGTTAAATCAGCATTTTTGCTAAAATTGAAAGTTAAAAGTCCTGCATGTGTGCTGAAAATTTTCTACGATAATTTTGTAGATTTCGGCCAGGCCCGCCACATCCCATCTCGGGCCCTGGTACCAATTTTCTGGCCCGGGCCCCTAGCACAGGGGGGGGGGAGTCCGGGGGGCCTCCCCCGGGAAATTTTTGAAATTTTAAATCTATTTGGTCGCATTATGAAGCTCTTATGATGGAGATTTTCCATCAATTTCTGCAGAATAATTACGCCTTTTTGTTTACTTTCAGCACCAAAAATTTTCGAATTGTTGCATTCAAAACATCTATAAATTTTTTATTTGAGGGGGCAGATGATAATTTTCAATTCTATGGGGAGCCGGGCCCCCCTGGACTCCCCTTTCGTACGTCTATGGCAAGGGAGCTAAGCCATTGAAGTCGAGGATACCCAGAAAAGGAGCCTCTTAGCATCCGACAACGGAAGAAAATGAAACACAGTTACTAAACATATCATTCTACATATACTCAAAATCTTGAAAATCTCTAAAAAAGTAAGGAAAATTTTATAGTGCCCTAGCGTGTTTTTGAAACTTTATTCACCTTTTGCGGAATTTTTAGGGTAATTTTTTCACTTTCCCTACAAGACAAGGGTTACACATGAATTCGTAGTGGTTTGTCACCTGCGTCACGGGCCCCTCCAGGGCCCGGGCCCCGGTACCAAGGACCCAGTATCCCCCCCCTTGTGGCGGGCCTGATTTCGGCACAACTAATCGAGTTAAGTTTCTCCTGGAATCCTGTTTTTCCATTGAATAACAACACTTTTGGGCTTTGAGCTGAAATTTCTAGAGGTTTTGTGCCAATTTTTAGTGATTTGACCCGTAAAGTGGAAAGTTTCAATTTTCGATTAATCGGTAACGAACGATCATTCAGCACCAAACTTTTATTCGACAATCAGCCGTAATCGAAATTTTAACAATCGATTATTCAATCAAATCGAAAGGCAGCTCGATTAATCGATTCAGTAATTGACAATTGAAAAACTCCAACCGTAAACTATTTAAGCTCTGCCTTTAGTCAAAGTACACCGTTATCGCTTGGGAAAAGACAGGAGAGTGGGACCGCTGCAACTACGCTGCATAATTGTCAGCTTTTGTGCTGAATCAACTCGCCGCGCTTCAGGTTCAAAGGGAGGTATAGGTGGCTGCACAGGACTTCAGGATCGTGCGACAACCGGAGGCAGCAGCGCTGAGTCGCGCGGCTAAGATGCCAACTAGCATTTTATAAAAGGGATTCTGCTCCCCAATGGAGTTGTTGCATGTGTGAGGAATTTGCGATTTGACCATTGATTCTTATGTAAAAGTTCGCGAAAAACACGACGGTGCCATTGGTTTTCTCTGAAATCAACTCCCAAGCTCAAAAAAAGCTCTCAAGTTGAGGCCAAAATGGAGGGGATATCCCACGCTATCCTGAGAGTCTACCACCACATCAAGACAAACTCTCCATGCAAAGATAGGGAGCCAATACATTAGCAGGGTTGCCGTGATTTCAGTTTTAGTGTCCCCATATAAAGTGGCAGCCCTGCATGTCAATGTATTTGCTCCCTATCTTTGCATGGTGAGTTTGTCTTGATGTAGAGGTGGACTCTTAGGATAGCGTGGGATATCCCCTCCATTTTGGCCTCAACTTGAGAGCTTTTTTTTGAGCTTGGGAGTTGATTTCAGAGAAAACCAGTGGCACCATCATGTTTCTCGAAAACTTTTACATAAGAATCAACGGTCAAATCGCAAATTCCTCACACATGCAACATCTCCATTTCAGGGGGTTCGGGGGGAGGGAGCTTCAAGATGGTGAAATTCGGATTCCTGTAGGGTCGATTCCTCGTATTCGTCCCCGCGTTTAGGCTTGTTACACCAATGGATCAGCTACTCGGTCATGAGTCATGATTAGGCGACTCTGAGCGTTGACTTCCTCGAGTAACTTTTTCCGTACAGAAGACAGGAGTGCGGGGTCTGTGAGATATATTGTCTCTGGTGAGAAATTTGGCAGCAGCGATGTTGGGGGACGGCGGCGGTTATACCGTTGCCGGAGCGGACCGCGGGACCTGCAAGGAAGCGGGGCTTGGGTCTTCGTCTCGACGGATGGTGCCGCGGCGATGCGATGCTCTGCCGGCCGGGGAATGGGGCAGCGTGAAACGACATTGGTCGATGAACTCCCGACTCCGGCAGCCGCCGCGCCGTCACCTCCGAGCCCCCCTCGGTTCCCCCCGGAGCTCCGCGGCCTGGCCGAGTACTCCCGCCTAGGAGGTGTAGAGCCCGGGTAAAAGCCCACTTCTTCCGCAGATCCTTGTCATCGGGAAATTCAACCGAGTCCCTAGTGCCACCATTAGTCGACCCATTTTCAAAGGAGAGTGCATCCTGGGTGTCGGAAAGTCCGGAAATAGTATTGATTTTTCAATGGCGGTCCAGAAGTACTGATTAAGTGCGGAAATTTTGCAAGGGAGTCCGGAATTTTTTTCATTTTCGTCGCAATTCGAGCGGGAAATTCAAATTTTTGAAATTTTTCGAATTTCGTCAGTTGAAGGCATTGAAGAAGTACTGAATTTTTCTGTTGAGGAGGTACTGAATAATGTACTGAAAAAGTATTGTAAAAGTCCTGATTTTTGGCCAGCCTGTTTTAGTAGACACTCTGATCACTAGACCGACTAAGAATTCTAGAGCCGTATTCAAATGTATCCTAGGTCGGCTCAGTTCATTTCAAGGACGTTGACAATTTTTAGTCTGCTCATTTTTCAAATTGGTCTGCCTATTACATGGACCTATGGGCAGAGCTGAAGGGGAAGGGGGGGGGGGG